TCCGAGTCACATGGAATCTTTCGATCCCTATCGTGTTTGGTCCTATGAATACTGAGTCCCCCGTTTCGTGTTGGCAGCGTTACCAACTTAGCCAGCAATGATGGGGGCATTAATAATGGATTCTTTTTTCAACCCATAAACATGTAAATTTTTACCATTATTGACCGAAACAAGTCGGATGGGCCGCTTTAACCAGAAACCAGTGCCTGATCCAATTTGAAGCAAAAGGCAAAACTGGTGGGACGAAAAATCAGGGCAGAATGTAACCGGTTAAATCTGAAAAAACCGGCTTCTATTGACAAAAACCAAAATTATTTTATTTTATTTTAATGTGTTTTTGTAGTTGTTTTTCTCCCTCGGGGACATCCGACGGTTGTTTTTAGTGTTATACGCACACCCATACATGCGTAAAATCTATGTGATGATTTATTGGTGATTTTCGATGATAATTGATGATGGTATGGGCTTGATTAGACAGTTGATGTTGCATGCTTTTGATCAGATTAACGTTTCATGTCGTCCTCGCTGATCTTGATCATTTGTAAATTGTAATAGATAATAAACACTTCTATTCTGTGATGTGGTTACTGTAAGCTTGACATGCATGGTGAGGATATGGATGAATATTGTTCGAAATATTCTTTATTTTTCATGCGTGCTCTTAAAATTATGCTGTTTTGATTGATGCCGGTCCCATCATGGTTCAGTGAACCGGTATCCCAACTAATTCAGCGGCCACTTAGTTTACTGCAACAATTTGTTGTCCTCAACTCGACCATGATTCTAAATAAACTATTTTTTAGATCACCCAAATCCAACCACACCCTCAAGTCTTCTCATTAAAAACTACTTCTCATGTAAAAAATAAATTATTTCATGTTTTGTAAAAAATTCCTTAATTAAATCCTTTTTGGTGGTTGGTCATGGGTCAATCTTAATGAGAAAATTTCTTCTGGATACTAGAAGGCAGGCATGTTGTCTAGAGACTGACGGGTAAAAATAGTTTAAATAAAATAAAAGGTTAATATAAACTTTAATTCTTTAAGTTTGTCTTCATTTTGGTATTGGTTCCTCAAGTTTTAAATCATAGGTTTTGGTCCCTCAAGTTTCTTTTTATTTAAAACATTGGTCCTTATAATCCAATAAAAACTTGTACCATTTTGCCCTAAAAGGAATCAAAACATATGATTTGAAATTCGAGAGACCAAAACCAAAACGAGGGCAAATTTAAAGGATCAAAGATTACATTAACCCTAAAATAAATGAATAATTTTATCTTTCTAATGCATATATATTCTTTTTAAAGAGACTCATCTTCATACCATCTCTTTTCACTTTGATTTTCTTTTAATTAAATAGTAGAACAAGAACACAAGTGACCTGAACGCTATATATTCGCGGTATATGTCAATCCCTTCAGTTTTCTTCACTCCTCATTCCGCAGTGATGCTCTTGCCCCTATGCTGTGACTTGTGTAAGCAGGGCACATAAATGGTGTTCCCACCCCCTGTATATTTTCATTGTATTTATAATGGTTAATATAAATTTTAGTCCCTTAAATTTGAGTCTATTTTTGTATTAGTACCTGAAATTTCAAATTCATAGTATTCGTCCCTGAAATTTTGGCCGTTACAAAACTTTGGTCCCTGATACCTTTATGCCATTAACTTCATCTAAAATGGCACTAACACTGTTAACCTGATGAGGTGGATATACAAGTTGGCACGTATATACCTTGATGACCTAGACATAAAGGGGGAAAAAAGCAACTCAAACACAACTCACACTCATGACAGAACAATATAAATGGAGGCAGCAAATACGTTGTTGATCTCTCCCACTAATTCACTCAAGACAACAACTTTGCAATAATACTCCTCTTTCCACTGAAAAAAAAAAGGAAGACAATTCCATGGTCCAAGTGGCATATTTCATGTGTGAACGGCATAATGGTGCTCAGGACTCACCTTGACAGCAAGTACAAGCTTGCTTATGATGGATACATCTCCAAGGTATGTCAAATGCTATGGTTATTAGATCTTGAAATAAAATAAGTAAATTAGTGTTTTTTCCCCTAATTTACAGCTTATAACTGTGTCATGAAAAGAAAAACTCTTGTTGATAGGTGGCGATTCCATCTTATAATGTGTACTCCATTGATGATACCTCGTTAGCTGCTATTATATTCAACTAAAATCCATCATACCCAACTATGATACTGGTGTGATGTCATTAAAATTCATGATATGCAACTAAAATAATATCAAGTTACAATTCGAATTGCATCTCTGTTAGTCTCTGTTTTTTAGACTAAAAACAGAGTTAATAAAATAATGTGGTGACATCGTCTTCGGGATAAGATCAACCCATTTAAGTCCAAGCTCTTGAATGGGAAGGCAAAGGACGTCTTGACACCCTGATACTTGTAGCTTGACCAAGTCTCTTGATTCCAAGTTACTAACTCATTGCAAGTTCTATTCTTTTAGTCTTATTGTTTTGAACATTGCATTAATTAATTAGCTTGATCAACTTGTGGTCAAGCTTCAGTGAATGGATCGGTTTTTAGCCAATAATGCTAAATTACTCCCATACCACATATCATTTCCTTTACCAGCAATCACTGCTCTATGTCTGACGACTTTAATGCCCAACACATACAACGAAGACGGTGATGATGATGATGATGAGAGAATAGTAAGGGGAATCATCATCAGCTTTATTTATGCAACCACAAAACATTGCTGGATCCTCTTTACCTGTCGTCTGCATCAAAGAAGAAATTTGATCACTGTGACATATAGCTTGAGCAGAATGTTGGAGATTCTTTCACCCATCAAGACCGTCTGATTAACAAGGGATCACGACGAGGATGCTAAGATGATGAAGAGGATATTGGAAAAAAGGGACCTAGCATTGCGCCCTGAAGGAACCACCTGTAAAGAGCCATATATGCTGTAGTTTAGCCCACCGTCTTCTAAAGTGAGCGATGAAATCACTTCGGTCGTTGTTGATTGCCACGTCAGCATGTTCCCCTCACTAGGCTGATGGTCTTAGTGCCATCTCATACAAAATTAATAGTGTGAAGATATTAGGGACTAACGTTTTGTAACGGCCAAAATTCTGGGGACCAGTATCATGTGTTTAAAATTTCAGGGACTAATACCAAAATTGACTTAAATTTGAGGGATCAAAATTTATATTAACCCTATTTATAATAATAATTTCCCAAAGCATATTCTCTTCTTTGTCCTTTGTATTGACGAAGTGTACCAGGCTGCACACGCAGCGTTATGCTGTAGGAACACATGTCACAGAACTCCTTGTATAATTTAGTTTTTTTTTTTTGGCTACTGCATAGATATTCTCTTATTAGAAGCAATTCTGTTCGAGATACTCAGAGAAAATTTAAACTTTGATTCGTTATTTTGTGAGAAATTAGTCCCTTCTGTTAGACTAAATCTCTGTTAGTTCTTATAATGAGCTTCTTATTGAATTGAACAGAAGTTAAGAAAGTTGCTTGGGCCAAGGAGTGAGTTAGGTCCCGTAAGTGGTCCAATAAGCGAAACAAGGGCACGGCCCAACTAAAATGAATAATGAGCCCGTGAAAGCGTCGTCCCTCTTAACCTCCGTCTAACTTTACTTCCCTGGGATTTAGGAAGTCAATTTATTTAGCATAACCGCATAATCTCTTGTCGTGCTTCTTGATGATGATGATGTATATAGTTTATCCAAATAGGACTGTTGCGGGCGAGAGGGCTACATGAGTTGATTCAAGACCCCATGCTCTATTCGGCCATCGTGTTTCTTTTCTACTCTGTCTTTGTGACGAAGGAGGTGACTCTTGGCTACTTTCGCAGGCCACTTGTGCTGGGGGTCGCCCAGCCTTTGCAATCTCCCAGAGCCATTCAAAGCTTTTCATTACGTAGGAAAGATATTGACCATCTGCAAACACCCCCCCCCCCAAAAAAGAACCAAAAAAAAAAGGAAAAAAATTCTCATTTATTTTCCCAAATCTAGGGCCTTGACTACTCTGGCTTTTTTATCCCCATCATAACTATCGGGAATTTAACTGATTGAAAAATATTACTTCTCTTCCTAACGTATGATCTAATTATTAGGTTGATTTTAATTATAAATGTAAAACATATTTTTTTCTTTATCAAATTTTTTAAATTATCCATTATTAATATTCACTCAACCATAAGGTAAAAGAGAAAAAGAGGATACTAAAAAAGATTATATTTTTTATAATTAACTGACTTATCTAATTTTTTTAATTTAATTAAATTAGTTAAATATATGTTATATTAATGGTGGAATCAGATTGTCATCTAACAATATTAAGCTGAGTATTTTTATAATTATATATTTTCAAAGAAATTGTAATGCCCCTCCAATACCATCGAATTGCAATCCGATGGCCAGTGTCTCTTAATTAAAACCTAACTAGGGGAGCCCCAGTCAAATTCATTTTTGCGAGTTTATTTTATCGCAAACTAGACATTTTTTTTTTTTTTGGCCTGAAAACTAGACATTTTTTTGATTTCATCAAACCCGAAATCAACAACACAGTCTCTTCCCTGGCACTTTACATACGCAGATAATCAAATCCGCTGCAGTTGGATGAAATAATGAGCATTTTATTTTTGCATATTTATTCTAGAAACAGTAAGAAAAAAGTATAAAAATCCCACTGTCCCTTATCTTTAAATTTTTGTAGTTTGACAAAAAAAAAAGTTCTTTTTGTACTAATTCATGATAAACTATGTTTCATTATGTTAAAATTTATTTATTTCTGGGCTGAACTTGAAGCTCGAGGATGAAAAAATTTGTATTTCAATAGCAGATATTGTTTTTGACCCCCATGGTTTTGCTCGGGAATCCTTCAAAAGGTTTATCACGTCAGAATTTACCGAACAGATTAGGCAGCATAATTCACTGGGGGCACTTGTTCCGTGGGAAAACCTTTTCTTCTTTTATTTTACTTCCTTCTAAATATCTAGAATTTTCCGACAGAAGATTGTTTCTGAGCAGAGACGAATATCGCGGCCCATTTTAGACGTACGCGGCACGCCGATAGACACAGGCACGAAGGGAAAGACAGGACCCCTAATCCTGACCTGATTTTCGCTCGAATTTCATATACCTAAACCAGTGTTGAAGTTTGCATTCAGCTCAAAGCAAACAAGCCTTTCTCTTTTTTTGAAATTCATCATGACGTGGGATGAGTGGGACAACAATATCCCAGAAGGTGACCAACCTGACCAAGATTCCTATCTCAACTTCGATTTCTTCCCTGCTCTGCCCAAGCCCAAGGTACATCGTGAACATTTCAGGCTCTGACTACCCTCTTTATTTTTTGCCCCTTTGAAATTTCATCTGTTTTTAAAATTTATTTCGTGCCAGGGATTGTTTCCTTTAGTGGTATTTGTGGATGCGTGTTGTCCTGAAATTGTGAGTTGTGTTTCACAGGATTATTATAAGATTCTGGAAGTAGATTATGATGCTACAGACGACGCTATTCGCTCCAATTACATTCGTCTGGCTCTGGTGTGTTATCCGGTCTCGCATTTCTATCCTCTAGGGTCTTCTTAGTTGGGTTTGGGGCTAAGTTCTGGTTTTCACCGCGGAGCTCAGGGCTAACATTTCTCTGCTTCTGTGGGCACAGAAATGGCATCCGGACAAGAAGAAAGGCCAAGATGCCGCAACTTCCCGATTCCAAGAGATAAACGAGGCTTATCAGGGTCAGTAACCCTTTTTAGTTTTTTCTTTCTAATGATACGAGTAATTAGCTATCTATATGGTAAAATTTTAGGGTTATTTGTGGACATGATCGTACTCTTATCTGACTTGGACAGTTGATGATGGGATGGCGATTGGCGTAGATGTAGGCTAGGTATTGATTATAGTAGTGGAAATTGAAAAATAGGTCTATGAAAACTTGGTGATATGTCTTAAATCCTCAACATAAATGCTGCCTTCCTCACTTGGACAGCGAATTTGTTGGGGTTATTTTGCTCCCACTGTCAATAGACTGCCTTCACCGAAACTCTAATATCTTCGATTCTAGGCGTTATTATATTTCATGTTTTCTTTTTTTTAGTTGAACAAGGCAAGCAAAAGCTTGATACGAGTTAGGAGATTAGAGTTGCGAGATTCTTATCTTCTATCTCGTGCATATTGAGATGCGCAATCCAAAACAACAAAATTCAAAATACGTGGGAGTAATGTTAGCATCATAGGCATTCTTAACCAAAAGGTTTCCTACATCATTGCCTCTGTGCGTATGATAAAGTTGGAAGTTCCATAAATCTGCAAGTTGCAAGTGGATTTCTTGAGTGATGCCTTGTAGGGGTTGTTTTTTATTTCCACCTCGGAAGAACTTCGTATGTTCTTTATATGGCTGCCCTATTTTCCCCTTTTCTTTAACTAAGTTTTACTGATTAGCATGCTCAAAGGGCTTAATTAATAATTGATAAGTTATTAAAATAAATCTTCTTTCTGGATGATCAATTACTGTAAGGCCATTTGTTCTCCTTAATGTCCGTTGGAGAAGAGAATTCCCCCGGGCACCACACCTACATAAACCGCCTCCTTTACCTTCTATGTGCTGGTCATAACATTTTTTTCCTGGGTATGAAAACTGATTTGAATCTACTTAACGCTGTTCTGCGTTACATTTTGCTATCTAATCTTGTCAAGGTTATTTCCATTTATATTATCACAATTTTGACGTGATGGGTGATTCTAGTGATTCTCGAAGCGATTGTTGACTTGTACATTATTAGTGGAAATTATTTCCATTTCGAAAGAGCTAGCTTGGCTGAAATACATATTCTCTTTGGATTTGATCGATACTTCCGTAATTGAAGACTGATGGGCATATGATCAATGAGGAAGGCGGGTCTATTTGAAGTCTTCGAGAAATATAAAATGTGGTTTATTTACCCAGTCGTGAAAGAGATTAGATTAGCTGTTCCCTAAACAAGGCTTGGTATTTGGGTGTGATAGTTGTATCAATCTACTGTAGATTTTCTACTCTTCCTTTCTTTTGCTTATGCCTGTTAAAAACTGTGAGTAAGAGCATGAGCTTCTCTCTTATGATTAGAATAACATTTATTTTGCTTTATCGAACAGTCTTAAGCGATCCCGCCAAAAGGAGAGAGTATGACAAAAATGGGATGCTTTATGTCTATGATTGCAATCTCATGGTAAGCGCTTCCCTTGTTATCTGTCATGAACCTTGCTTGTGAAAATTGGTTTATTTACCAAAAGAAAATGTCTTGTTTAGAATGACGCTTTGATATCTTCACTTCACATTTTGTTTTATTGTTTGTTGCAGGATTATCTTAATCGTTACAAGAGCCTTATATTGACGTGTAATGGCCTTGGGATGAAGCAATTCATATGGTAAGGCAAATCAATAGCATGGAAATCCTACCATCGCAGCTGGGACAAATTTTTTGTGGGTGTCTGTTTCTGCAAGCCATGCTCAGGGATGAATGAGACATGCTTATGATGTAGGATGGCTTATTTCATGCTTCTGTATAAAAGTATATAGGAATTGGTTGCCACATTTAAGGGTCACTCTCCCTGCCGTCAAATGGATGTGTTTCTTTCTTGTGATTTGTTTGTGAATGGATGTCTGGATTCACGCAGCTTTTCTACCATTAAGCCAGATAAACCCTAACAATCATGCAGCGGCATCTGCCGTCTGAGAAGAATCGGTAGTTGCCTAGAAAGATGAACTCGGAAAAACAAGGTGTGGTCCTGGTTCATGGGTATTTAATGTAACGTAGGTTTACATGCACAACTAGTTTTTTTTTCTTTCCATGTTTTATAAAATATAAATAATAACTGAAAAATCTTTCGAGAAAAATGTGTTTATGGAGCAAGCAGTTCAGACTTTGCTAGGATGTATAAGAAGGAAAGATACTGAACGGATCAAAAGGGATCGGAGGAATTCGAAGTCATAACTCACGGTACACTAAATATCCAACTGATTGTTATTTGAGCAGTGTCAGAGATAACTACCGCCATGTTAACTCGTATTTTTCTAAGCAAATGGCCATTAAAGATAAACTCGCGATCTGTTTTAAGCAATTGGCCCTGTAAACTAGCTCCTGCTTTCCTTGATTAGTACACTAATCTTCTCATTGGGTGACATTGCTTTTGGCAATCAGAGGGAAAGTATAGAGAATTGTCTTAGTTATAAAGAAATTGAGATGATCACATTCGCAGCCTTTTATATAATATTACTTTCGGTTCTAAATATAAAAGTTAGTTGATTAATTTGAAAAGATTAAGAAAATACACTATAATTTCTAAATATGAATATTATTTTTCCTAAAATATCATTTTTAATCAAGTATATTGATTAAAACTATTATTGTTATAAAGACTATTTTGAAAGAAAATGAATAAACATGTGAAACATTACTATAAGAGTTTGTTTGACTTTTATTTTGATTCTAAAATATAAGACCTCAATTTATTTTGTTTTTTATGTTTATCATTTCCTTTCAAAATAGTTCTTACAACAATAATAGTTCTAACTAATACACTTGATTAGTGAAAATATTTTTTAAAAAACTAACACTTATTTATTATAAATATCTAACTTAAGGAGGCAGTATAAAATAATGACATAATAATGCGCCTGCTACGGTGGATAGTATTCGAATGACCTAGGTAGCACAAACGCATATTGACAAGGAAGATCTAATAAGACAGAACTTTAAGTGTTCTTCCCTTTAATTGTCACTTTCTTTAGGGAAGGGGGCGGGTCGGGCTGGGATGGGGTGTGGACGTGACCAACTTGATTTGGGATCCCATTGCAGACGGCCGTTGATGCTTAATAAAATCAGATGAATAGACGAGAAATCATAAAAGAACGTTTACTGATAACATAATATCCAGTCTAGAAAGTAGAAACTAGTAACAGCCAGCAGTATTCCGTAGCACACCAATCCACCATGTTGTAAACAATGCTCAATTCTCGTCACCAATTCGTATGGACAACATGCGAACTTCTTTATGTTTTTGTTTGCTAAGACAGCGCGCGACCTTATTTAGCAGACAAAGGTGGTTCCTGTGATTTATGTCTACATTTGGCAGTCAGTCCCTCGTGCTGCCTTTAATCCATTCCAGGTATTTGAGATTGCCCCCGGTGATAGGTAAAGAGATCACCTCTGGCACCCTGAAGAAGAGACCAAAAATGTCAGCAACAACTCGAGGCACTATTGTTTGTATGTTTTACTACCAAGTTAATTTCAACAAGGATTTTATGCCAGTTTAAGTCTTGGCAGATTCATAATACATTAAAAAACATCAATCTGTTTTACACTCAGTTGTCAGTTCTATTCTATTCAAATGCTCTTCAAGTTTTCTTTCAGGATTAGATACAATGTACGACTCAAACTGTACAACGCAAATTTGAAATTTTGATGAACGGTAATTGATGGGAAACATCGGTCTTACTCATATTCGTGATTTGCTTTGACATGCTCCGTCAGTGCTTCCAAAAGAGATTGCCTAGTCTTGATTATAAGAAGTTCCTCGGAGTCAGTCTGGACCTGTCAACTTGCAACACACAGCTGATATTAACAAGCCACACCATACTTTCAATTTAACTATGCATTTTCTTATACCACTTGCCAATAAGGACAGTAATAAACAGAATAATTTTTTTTTTAAAAAAAAAAACAAACGAAATGAGTGATGGAAAAACTCCTCATGAGGAGTTCTAGACACGCCAGCATTCTCAAGTCAACATGGAAAATGAAGTTCATACCTCTCCATTCCATTCATACACTGATTCAATGCCTGTATTAGTTGGTTTAACCAAAAAAAAAAAAAACATGCATTAGACATAATTCACATGGGTTATAAAATTCTGATGAAAATGTAATCTTGATATTTAGCTCGCCAAGACTAATGCCAAGTTCCCAACTCAAAACCATCCTGAAATGCCTCCATAGTCATGGCACACATGCTTGATCCCACATCGAAAGCGCCCAATACAGCAGAGGCTAAAATCAGGAGAAGAAAGCTCATTTCATACCTGGAACCCTATTTACACAAGCTGCAAGTCTCTCTTTCACAATGCTTTCGGCCAACTTCCTGCCTGCAGAATCATTCGCGCACATCAAAAATTGGAGCATATAAAGCCATAAAAAACACGAATTCATTAGATCTACCCTGTGCACCTTAGACAAGTAATAATCAACAAGATAAATAACATGATTTCACGGGGTTTTTAAAGTCTTAAACCCTTAATGCTACCTCAGCCCAATTCTTCATGGGCCAGTAGCTGAATGACATGCTAGTGTGTAACCCCCAATCTCAACGAATCAATTGTGCAAACTGGAATGATCCTTTCCTAGAGTATCCCCAGCAAGGAAAACGAAGAAGAACAAAACAATGCTCGAACCTGCTTCTTTGTTGGGAACAGTAACATAGACAACAATACTTGGAACAGTGGCGCTTTTGTCTTCCATCGCTTCGGTACCAACGCTAGTAGCAGCGAAGTGCCTACGGAACTTTGATCTGAAACGGAAGGGAACAATCGCGCAGGGAATCAAAACAAACGAATAATAAAATAATCCGAAAAAAGCAAGAGGATTCGGATCCAGAAACAGAAATAATTAGGCGGAGAAATGGAAGGAATGGATGAAAAAAGCCGGATGGCGTCGTACTGTAGGAGAGGGAAAATGGGAAGAGATTGAGCAATCCCCGTTTTGGAGGCGGAGGAATACAGGGGGGAACAGATGCCCAAGCTGAAGATGCAGAAAGCGCCAACCAGAGGAAGGCGGCGATGCAGCGAAGACGCAAAGACAACGGAAGCTTTGGTGGAAGTAGCAAGAGTGGGAGAGAGGAGTGTGGAAGCCATTTTGCCAGATGAGAACGGCGTCAAAGATATAGGGTGGTGCGCGTGTCCATCAGCCCTCATCGGCTTCCCTTGCTTGATACCCTCTTCTTCCTTCATCTACGCGCCAAGACCTACGTGTGCAGCTCCTGCATGTGCCACGTGTATATCCCTCCCCAACTCCCGAAGGCTTCCCGTCGTCGTGTTCCTAACGTTTGTCCTTTTTTGGGGGAAAAAAATTAATCAAAATTCTAGGAGAAGCAAGTGCAGCTAGTGCGGGCTATTTTTAGGGTGGATTTGGATAAAACCAAACCGTGGTTTGGAAAAGTGATTCTGGAGAATAGATTTTGGAAAGAATATATTTTATGAAAAAGTGATTTTGAAAAGTGAGAGTATTTGGATAGTTGTTATCAGAAGCACTTTTTATATATACAAATTACTAAAAAAAAATAAGTTAATATGATAATTACAGAAAAAATAGATTTAATAATACATTTTAATTTGAAGGAATAAAATTGTTAATAATATATTTTTTATTAACGTAATTAATAATACATAAGATAATATAATTAATAAATAATTAATATGTATATATATTTATAAAATATAAAATTAAATATGTTTATAAAAAAATATAACAAGATACATATCCTATAGACTTTCACACTCTCCATTTTTTCTCCAAAAGCAAAAAAATTTTGCTTTTTTCAAAACCATGGTTTTGGTTTTTGAGTGGGTGTTTGGGTGATTTATTCCCCAAACCATGGTTTGGGGTGTCACCCAAACACAGCCTTAATTGACAAATGTTCGAGAATAAAATTATCAGAGTTTATTTTGAAGAATCCAATCAAAAGAAATCATTAAATTTGTTTCTTGCAATGCAGAGATTATATCTAAATAAAAAAATGTAAGTAAAAACTTTTAAAAATTATACTACTTTTGATCCTTACTATAAGAGTTAATTTGACTTTTAATTTGATCATAAGTATGAAATTATACTTCTCCAATCCTTAATATAAGACCAATTTAACTAATTTAATTAGATTAATGAAGTTAGGTAAGTTAGTTAATTATAAGAAATGTGACACGTTTTTGCTAAAACATCATAATCATCTTTCTTAATACCCCTTCTCCTTCTTCTATTTGATTATAATTGAGGGAGTATCTATAAGGGTAATTTAGAGAAAATTGATAAATATGAGAAATGGGTCTTATATTTATAATCAAAATCAACTCAACAATTGGGTCATATATGAAGGATTGGAGGAGTAATTCATTTTATCTATCATATTTGTCTTTTTTTTTTCAAAATAATCATAGTAGTTGCACATGTTAAAATTTTTTATTAAATAGCAGTTATAACTAATACACATTATTAGTAAGGATGTTTTAGGAAAAAAAATATGTATTTATTATAAATAAATAATTTTAAAAATATTTTTATTTACTTAAATTAATTAATTAATTCTTATATTAAAAATTAAAGCAATAGGACGAGAGCTCAGAAATGGGGGAGAATAGCAAACACTAACTGTTTGTGAGAACTGAGAAGTCAACAATTGGGCTGGCCGCATGGAGCACCGGCGAAGGGCGGAGATCAAGTTTATGGGTCGGTGCGGCCCATGAATTCGGATTTTTTTGATTATCAAATCGAGTTTAAGTGAAAAGCAGCAGCTGCATTTGGGTTGGACGGTAACTCTGCCATAGAATTGCTTGATCTGCGATTCATCTTGCCCGCCTTTGGTGTCCTTTGGGTTTTTTGTTTTCAATTTTTTCATGTGTTTAAGCACAACTGAGTGGGCCATCCCTGAGTGGGATTTAGCCCATTTTTGAAACACCCTTTCATGCTATAAGTATGTTAAAATCTACAAAAAT